TCTGTATTTGCAGTGATGTCCCGAAGCACAAGATAAAAATCCTGCATATACAGGTTTAAAATGGAAATGTAACTGTTACTTTTTTGGCAGCCACAAGTACTGCAGAGGTGTTTTCACTGAACTGTCCAAGACATTCTTAGGTCTCAGACGATAACTGCTAACTTGGAAATTATCTGTACACCTAGGCAATCCTAATTACTCCTTCTACAGCACCTGGCTTGCTTGCTCTGGTCTGCCACCACCTTGCTGATTGTTCAGCTGAGCCAGGTCAGTCTGAAGGTACTCACGAATCCCACAGTCCGTTTGTCTGGCTCGACAAAGAACTGTCTCCCATCGGTAATCTGTGCTGCTTCCTCTTCCAGATCACTGACTTTTAATGTGTCAGAGAGCTTTAAATGGATACAGTCCTGTATTAGCTGCCTCCTCTGTTGAAAAGTGGCTTTATTATCTAGTTTCTAGGCTATAAAAACTTACTCCTCAGCCTCCAGAGCCAACTGATTTCCTTAATAGTTTATCATGAAGGCTGTCCTATCTATCTTTGTGGAACGCCGAACTTCAGCAGATAACAGCAATTCAGCCGTATAACCTGGTTGCACCCTGGAATTTGTTGATCAGAGAAAAGGATTTTCCTTCAGTAACATCAAGACTGTCTGTTGGTCTCTGTCCCAGCTCTACCATTTTTTCTGCTTTGCGTTTAAGCTGATATTCTTGGTAAGGAAGTAAAGCTTTTTTATTCTCCAACAGGTCAGGAGACCTCAACAAGAAACTCTGTTTTGTTATTAGCAGTTTTGCCATTTGACTGTAATTCAATCAGCACATTTAACTAAAACCTATCCAGTCCTTCAGAAGTACTATAACTTAAATGGACAGATTCCTCTAGATCAAAGGCTGTTATTTTAAATGCATCAGGAAAAAAGGGGTCAGGCAGTGACCCAAACAAGCATGTACTGAAACCTCTTCCTATTTTAATGAAGATCTGTATTCACAGGTATGCGGAAGGAAAGCAGGAAGTCAAGCATTTGATAGAGAGCATTTGTATTTCAAGGATGTGAGATGGCATGGAAAAAAAAAAGTCATCCAGGACTCAGTTTATGAGTCTCTTACCTGTATTTGGGGAGGCAATGCAGGTGACAAAATTAGCTTTCTGGTAACAACGTAGGGTCAACCTGGTCAGGAAGCTTCCTCCACTTCAGATACTCTTCACCTTGTACCCACGTCTGGTCTGGTCTCTCTCTGCAAAAACCAATGCTCAATCTGGGTATTTCAAGTGTGGAATAAACACCAGGAAAGGCTGTTCAGAATGAGTGCTGCCGCCTGACCCCAAAGCAATCCCAGCCCACTTGGCACAGGACATGGGATGGTCCAGGGCAGCCAACACATCTCTGCAATCCCAGGGACACCCTGTCCACGGTGAGATGGCATGGACAGTAACCACCGCCTCCCAGTAACCACCGCGCCAAACTCCACAGGTTGAAATCTCAATTCCCTATAGGAAGGAGGAGTCCAGTCACCCCTCAGCAGCCTCTGCTCCTCCTGGTGGCTGATTCCCACCCCACCTTGGCCAAGGGAAACCCCCAGGCCTTTTAACGCTGGCAAAGATCAGAGCAGCGGCAAACTGGTTCCTATGCTGTTGTGCAAGCTGCATCCACGTTTCCCAAGTTCATCTGTGCCATCTTTGTCTTCTAACAACTGTTGAGTTTCTGTCCCAGCACAGCAATCATCCATCTGGAAGGAAGAACTCCGTAAGAAGCTGGGCAACTCCCACTGGCACCACAGGCAGCACAAGGAACAACCAGGGCGAACACAAACCCCTCCCCCAAGAACTTGACTTAGGCTTGTGACTGCAGGTTTTAGGTTGGCACTTTGGCAGCACTTCTGTGTCACCCACCCACAGCTGCAAAAAAACGGGCCAATATCATTGCAAAAAAGTTCAGGCTACAGGTCCCTTTCCCCAAGCCCAGCCTTTCCCAAAGCGTGGAGCGCTGCACCCCCAGGAGAGCAGGGGATAGTGCCTGGAGGGAAGACGTTGCCTGCTTCTGCTGCAACCCCTTAACTGGGGGCTCCACATGAGCATCTGACTTTTTCTTTTGGCTTTATAGGTGTGTTCCTGGCTTGGGCAGCTCTGCTAAAGTGTACAGGAACATAGGCTCCATTTTATTTCAGAGTCTCCTCAGGGCTGGCGTCTTGTGAAGGAATGAGCTGGAGGAACACAGAGACTGTGTCCTTTCCTCAGCCCAAGACTGTACGTTCGCACCAGACTTTCAGGATAAACCATGCTCTCTAGGAGCGCTAGAGAAGGAAAGAATGGGCCAGTCTGGGGCTATTTCACAATAAACAGACCTAGGAACATGTGCAGTGCTTACAACAAAGGCAGTACCACCGCAAAGCCCTCTCCAAGCAGCAGCCTTGGGCACAGGTCTCACTTACCCGTACTCTTTGCTTTCTTCAAAGTCGTCTTTGTTGTGTGCTCAATTCAGGAAAGTACATTCAATTACACCAATCACACTTACACCTCCTCACTGCACCAGGGGCCAGAAATGAAGGGAAAGGGCTGCTTTAGCCAATTCTTCTCAGAACAACAACAACAAAAGTAGTCCTTTGCGGAGCACTGACACCCCAAATCCCTAATACAAAAGTTGATGGCAACGCCGTGGCCTGTGCATTGTATGCCAACACTACATATGAGGTACAAACATGTGGCAAACCCCCCTGCAAAGGTATTTTGGCTATATAATGCTGAAGCACTAATTAAAGTTATTATCTCCAAACTTTGTGCTGTGTGCACGTGGCCAAGGGACAGCCACAGGCAGCCTGTGCCCTCAGCATCGCGGCAGCGCCACTGGGCCCCCCGTGTCCCTTTGGAGGAGGACAGCAGCTCGATCACTTGGCCAACGGAGGAGACCATTTCGCTTGTTGAATGACACCAGTGGGATAATCACTGTCTCAGCATGGATGCGGTCCATGGAGGTCTGGGAAAGCAGGCCCCACGCTGAGCGCCTCTCCAGTATGGTGAAGATGATGGCATCCTTTCCCAGCTGCACAGAGCCAGAGTTGAAGCCATACAACCCAATGGATGGGTGGTCTCTTTTCACAGACTTCTCCGTGAGACCAAAGTTGAAAGCAAGGAAAGCAGAAAGGGGCTGGAAATGGGGAGTGCCTGCCTCACTCCAGGCACAAGTCCACATTACTGCTCTTAAGTTTTGCAAAGGGAGCTTAGCTCCTGTTCAACAGGGAAGACTCGGGATGGCTGCAGAGCTGGTAAAGAAGCCAAATCCTGCCAGTCCTATACTGCCTTCACCACTGAAGAACAACGTAAATGGTCAGGAAGAATTACTCACAAGGAGGATTTCTTTAGCATCTAGGGAAGGACTCCAAACCCTAATTTACCCTAAGTACCTCCACAACATTTTTTACATTACAGACAGGGACATCAAGAAGCAGAGGAGCAAGGCAATCTATTTCCAGCACTGCGCGCGGAGGCCAACAGCCAGCCAGGGAAACCCCGCGTGCCTGTTCTTCCCAATTCTGCACCAAGCCCCACGTCTCACTGTCCCCTCTGGGACGGTTTGTGCCAGCAAGGGGATGGCTGCCCTCCACTGCACACAACGACAGGGCAGGAAGGACAGTTGTGAGGGGACTCAGGTAGCCTGGATGAGGAGATGGCAACAGGGAGAGAAAACAAAAAACCAAAAACAACAACAAAAAAAAAACCCCACCAACCTCTTTAGGTACACAGAGGAAGCCTGCAACTTGGCTCTGCTGGGAAAGCCTGGGTTCCCTCAGTCACCACCGCCAAGAGCGTGGATGTTGCTCTCCCGGAGCGCTGGGATACTGTGGGAAGCATATGACATTAGCTTGCCTTGTTCACAAAAACAGGTTGCTAAAACAGTTCAGCAGATAAATCATGGCATCTGCCACCATGGTACACCACCAGAACCACCATCCTCCCCACCACAGGGCTTTATGGGGATCAATCACTATCGAGGAGCCAAAACACATTTGTGATCATAAAGCACCTGGGTAATTAGACACCTCTGCAGCCAAAGTGTCAGAAGAAAAGGGGCAGCCTTTTTTCTCATCCTAAAGCAACGTACCTGCTACCAGAGATGGGGCAGCAGCCCCACCACTCCCTGCACCAGTCAGGTACTCCAGCTCCCAGAAGCCAGGACTGAACTCTGCTAACATGCACCAGTCAGGTACTCCAGCTCCCAGCACAGAAGCCAGGACTGAACTCTGCTGACGTAGTCCTGCATCAGCAGAGTGCAGCACACTTGGCTCTGGAAGACTTGAGCAGGACAAAGGTGAATAAACACACACTAAGGAAATATTATAATAAATACATTTATTTACACGCCTTCCTCCCACCCTCCTTGCCGCAAAGGGCTGAAAATGCAGACACACATGTAGAACAGGAGGAAAAAGCCAGTACACCCCAACAGTGTACAGACAGTGCCCATCTTCCTCAAGGGGACCAGGCTCTTCCAGGTCTCTCCCTTCCCCACTCTGAGATTTATGGAACTGCACGTTAACTCCCAAAAGTCCTTCACTGTCCCAGTTACAACCAAGGAGTTCGCACGGCCCATGCAAATCCACGAGGTTCCTGGTCATCCACCCCTTATGTGGCAGGGGGTTTCTCTCCAGCAGAGGAGCAGGGAATGGCAGAGTCAGCCTCTGTCGAATGCCCCTTGCTTTTCCCAAATTCAATCACCACTGGCTTCCCCTGCAGATTGTACCCATTCAGCAACAGCATGGCATCCTGGGCTGACTGAGTATCTGCAAGAGAGCAAAATGGGCGCAGGTTACACGGCAAGTTCTGGCACAGACACATGGTGTTCATACAGATGTTCCTGGCTCAGGGACCCTCAGCCTGCACCATGATACAGTGCAGTGCCGTGATCCTCCAGCCAGTGACGTGCTGAATACAAATATGGAACGTAACAGACTGCATCCCTTCTGTTTTGATGAATCCTCTTCCAATCCAGGGAAAAGACTATGACATGATAGGAAGAAGAGAGAGTGAACTCCTCTCCTTCTCCTTAGAGACCAGGCTTGGCGCCAGCCCAGTGCCCTGGGGGAAGATGTGGCACCTTCGTGGGTGAGGGAATAACTGAGAAGCACAAGGCAGCAACTCACCAGGGAAGGTGATGAAAGCCTGACCCCTCATCCGGCCGCTTAGGAGGCGGAACTGGATCGGTGGGCTGTCCTCTTTCTGGAACCGAGCAAACAAGGACACTAGGTCCTTCATCGTCACTCGAGAGCCCAGGTTCTTCAAATACAGCACCTGTTCCAGAGACAAAGAGGGTCAGCCAGCCTGTGCCATGCAAACAGACACCTTTCAACCTGGTCCAAATCCTTAAACCTCAAAGGTACGAATTAGTTCAGCCCCTCTGCCATCCCAGAGTCCTTCTTCCACCAGCATGCTAACAGTGGAGTCTGGAAGACAGAGAAAGGTAGCTCTAGACTCAAGGCACCATCACGCTTGCCTGCACCGAGCGCTGATGGCTCCAGTTATTTACAAAACACAACACGCTCCAGCTACCAGTTAAACACAGTTTGAGTAAAGTCACAGCTGGTCTCAGTTGGACCCAAAAGGCAGAGCGCATGTTGACTAAGTGACCTGCCAGAGCCAGCAAGGGCTGAGGTCTGAAGCACCGCTCTTTGCCAGGCCGGGTGACTTCCCACTAGAGCCAAAGGTCCCCCTCCCTCCCAGAGGGGAGGCTGCTCTCCCTTGGCCAGAAGGATCAACCAAGCACCCTCCAGACAACAGCAAAGAGGAGCCTTTGCCTCTTGAAGCAGCTTCAGGGCATGCTAGTGAGGAAGAATAGATCCTGATTCATCTCAACATACCTTGTTGGGCTCTCCAGGATGGTAGGATGAGAACCTGGGTATATTCCGGAGTTCTTCCTCTGAGAGACGGTTCTTGCAGATCTCCTCTTCCGGGACAAACTCTACAGGCTCTTTGATAATCATAAGCCTTGGAGGGGACTGGTTGGGCCTTGTGGCAGGAGAGCTGGGACTTCTTGCCTGTTCTGCCTGCTGTTGCTGGTCTGGAAGCGATGACTCCTCCTCAACCACAGGCCCCTGTGGAGCCAGGGAAGGGCATAAGCACGAGTCACTCTTGGTAGGCTGGCCTTCTTCAGGCAACTTCTTGCTCAGCAGCTCTTGGTAAACACTCTCCAGATGAACCATGGGGTCCTTTTCATCTGTTACCCTCTTCTGAGTGTCATCTAATCCACAATGGAGAAACATGGTAACATGACTACCACCAAGAACCTGGAAAACGCACAGACTGCAGGAAGAGACAGACAGACAGAAGAAACCCTGTTCCAACTCAGCCTCCATGCATCCGCCAACCAGACCCTGCGGGTTATTTATAACAAGAATAGCCCCAGCAGCCAGCAAGTGCTGGTGTCCCACCTGAGGATGGACCTGCAAAGAGCAGCAGCTCCACCAGTGCTTTGTACAGAGCTCGTTTCTTCCAGAGATGTCCTCATTAGCTTATCTGCAGCCACACTTCAGTACATTGTAGTGACTCCTTCAACACACCTTCCTCCTGCACACATGGCCAGGACATGTCATGCTGCCTTTCTACACTGCTATGTGAAATATAAACTTTTTGGTTCCAGGGACAACATCAGATTATACTCCTGAGTTTAAAAAAGTCCATGGCATGGACTGGCATGGTATCTCCTTTACTCTATTTAACGGAAACGAGGACAGAAGTGAGAGGGGCATCTCCCAGCCCATGAACCTCAACCTTGCTGCCTCTTGGTTTTGCTACATGCCACAACACTGACACCAAAGGAGGGAGCAGGGGCCAGAGGAAGCTGGATCAGCTGGACATTATAGTTTGAACAGTGTCAACACTGATCAAAGTGGTATTTTAGGAGTTGGGGTTTGGAAGTTCCTCCTCATCTTCTGTTTAATACTGTCTTACATACAAAAATAAGTCTGGGCTGGAGCTTCATGCCCACATGCTCTCCAGCTAAAGCAGACTGGAGCAGTTTTTGCCATCTCTGGACAACACTTGACTCTCTATCCAGAAAAAACACATTAAGCCACAGGCTTGGGGACAACACTACTAAGGCGAGAAGTGCTGCCATCCCGTGAACACGGTACTGGGAATCAGCAACTGGGCTCCAATTCCACTTCAGCTACTGGGAGGAGCCTTTAACAAGTGACTCCTACTCTTTCCTGCTCTGTGCCTTTGCTTCCCTCCCACCCTCGTTAGACTGCAGTTAAATCAGAGAAAGGGTGATCTCTAGCCTGACACAGGCACCTCGTGTCACTCGGTGCAGCTGAGTGGGGACCTCTGGGCTCTAGCAAAGCATAACCCCAGCTGCTCTTCCACATACCAAGTTGGGCTCTGCAGTACATGTAGCACCTCAGCGAGATCCACGCTCTCCAAACAGAGATGGACTTTACAAGCCTCTATATTAAACCTTTCAGGGAGCCCACTCCGTGTCTGTTCATGTAAGACAGGAAAATATCTCCTCCCACACAGTACCAAAACAGAACTGTGTACTCAGGGACAGAAAGCCAGACAGAAATGTGTTGGACACCCACACACCCTGGCTCTCCATGCTGGAGCAAAGGCAGGAACAGCCTTGAGCCCACAAACCTTCGTGGTAGAGCGCCCGGAGGAAGGAGTGGCGGTCTGTTCCCTGAAAGAGGGCATTTTCAATCTCCATCTCCCGCCGGCTCAGCTGCTTGCTGCCAGCAAACCTCTGGGGCAGAGCGAGTATGCGCTGACGCTCTTTTTTTTTTCTTCTCCTGGATGGCATGGAGTCGGTCCTGCGTGGCCTCCGGGGCTGCTCCCAGCCCAGAGCCCTGGAAGACAGGCACAGCTTTGCTCAGATACAGCACGTACCTCCTTTTCGGAGTCTCGGCCAGCAGTCAAACCTCACATCCTCCATCCCTGGAGTGCAACTAGAAACCATCCCCAAAGAGCAGGTCACCAAGAGGTCCTGTTACTGCAAGGGTAGGACAGTAACACAGCCACACAGCAAGCCTCAGTTCTCGAGAGAAGTGGAGAAACAGCCCCTTTCTCCTGACCTTTCTGTGCTGCTTTCCTTTCCCTGGCCTCACCGATTTATGGTGCGGGTGTCCCTCTGTCTCAGCCATCCCTGCCTCTGCCAGCTACAGCCATTTTCTCACGCCACTTACAGTAACTGCACAAACCCCCTTTGGCATTTCTTTGCCACTCCTATAGCATCCCTGAGCTCAAGCTTCCACCAAGCGTTTGGTCTATGACGCTGGTGTCACTGAGAGAACTTTATTTGCTGAAAATTGGATCCCAAGCTGCCATTTGGCACCCGAGGAGGGTAGTTTTATACTGAGGACTAAACCCCTAGCCAACTTCACATGAGCCACCTCGCAGAAACCGCCCAGCTACTGCAGCACAGACCTCATAGCTAACCTGGCTACGAGCAAGCAGTCCTGTAGAAATAAACCTCACTGCACGGGGCCAGGGCACTGCTAAGATTCACCAGACTCCTGCTGCCAAAGCAGAGACACACCCCAATTTCTGGAGAGGCATTTCTGTTCCCCCATCCACCTCTAGGAGAATCCAGAGAACACACTTTTATGGGGCTGTAGGTGGATTTTCTTTTCTCAAATTCAGTTCAACAATTACCGTGGCAGACCCTTCTGCCTCAGGCAAGAAGCCAGGCTTTCTCCCTGCACTGAGCACAACCTAACAAAGACTTTCCCATGGGTATTCTCCCTTCCCGCCTGACTGCACGAACCCACATCTGCACGGCTTCCATTCACCATTTCACAGCTTCCCTGGGGCACAAAAAGCTGTTTATATGGAAAAGCAATTCCAGGAAATAATTTGTAGTACTTTGTTTTCAAAAAAGCTGCAACTTAGCAGCTGAAAATAACAGAAGCCTGCACTCAGTACTTTGCTGAGAGCTCTGTGGGCAATCTGAAGTCCTCTCTGCCTCAGTTGATTCCTCCTTGGTGAAATCTTTCACTTAGGGCTTCCACATACAAAGCTGCACATCGCTACCCGACTTGAGCTTTCTCTCTAAACGTTCTTCTCCTCTCACACAAGCTGTACCCTAATGTCAGTGCTTCTTTCTGTCAGAGTAGTGTTTTCCATGCTAATCTTTATTTCTAAACATCCCAGAACTGCTTTCATACCAAACACAACAGCTGGTACTCTTGATGTTAATTTTCAATCTTAAATTAACAGCACCCCTCTCTAATGCAAGCTTTAATGCAGGCCACACCAGGGCGGGGTTTGCACTTAAATACAAAGCAAGTAATGACTTCAGCTGAAGAGAGGCAAACCCACGATTACCACAGACAGCTTCCTACTGCACACAGCTATTGCTCAGGAAGAGAAGAGACAGAGGGAAGCCAAGGGTCAGCCCAAGCCCTACTTTGCACCTTCTGGTTTACCAAGTTAAGAGCAGAACACTCCAGTGCACCTGACAGACAAGAGCCCCAAAAGCCCCTTGTCTCTGGAATGTGAAATAAAAGGGTGAAGGTAGGGGAAGGGGAGAAACCTGCTTTGGCACTGCTTTGCTGCAAACTGCACCCAAAGAGGAGCACATCATTGCAATCACACACTTGGTTTAACAGCTCTGCACTACTATTTTTACTGCTGTTTCAAGTCCCTTGAAGCATCTGCCAGCCCCTGAGGAGAACGTACAAAACCCTCCCTACAGGCGGCTATCCCAAGCCAGCCATGGGATACAGGGATGTATCAGAATACAGAAAGGAGGAGGTTGAGGTGCTTTTAAATGTTTCCTCCCTTTTCTCCTCCAGCCTTTAAATCCTTCTTACACAGGTATAAACATGTGAACTGATTTGCTTGAGACCATCAAGGCAGAGGCAGGAATATAATCAGGACCGGCTGAGTTCCAAAGGATCAACTCCTCTCCACCATAGCTTTTAGCACAGACCATTCCACTAAAGAAAACAGGCTAGAAGAAATGTGGCATCGTGCTGGCCTAAACGCAAGAGATACATGGGGCAGCTATTCCTTACCAGAGGTCTTACAAAGGACTTAAAGTTTCTATCAGGGTGCCACAGGCCATGGGGTTAGAGGGACTTCCCGCGTTCACATCAGAGCAGAGCATGCCTACCTTCCCTGTTGAAGCCTGGTTCTTCCAGAGCAGGATCTCTGAGTCGGAGAGCCCCAGTTCCCGGAGAGAGGCAGTTTCTTTGTTGCTCTCCTGCAGGGCCTGGAACTGCGACAAGGTCAAAGCCCCTGCCGCCTCTTCCCCAAAAGGCTTGTAAAAAGCTGCAGGGGCAAAGCATCTCCGCTTTGACTTGCATCTGTAACACAAAGCAACAGAACAGCAGAAACAATTTAGCACTGAGAAACTGGGGGAATAGGAAGGGGCTGGCCTCTTCCCCCACCCATGCTTGGTCCTGCTGCACTTAGGCAGAGATGCCGTGTTTCCAACACACAATTGAGCGATGCTCTCCTGACCCTTTTCCAAGCCCCCCCCAACAGGGGGCAACAACAATATGGGCAGGAGACACCTCGCGACACTAACACCAAGCACCCCGCAGGTGCAAACACAGGCCAGCCTGGGGGAAAGGAGCTCACCAGCCTAGAAACTCATGCCTGCATCTGGCCCAGGCAAATTGGTTATTTTCAGGGAAAATACTGCCAGCATTTGCTCCAGGAGACAAGGAGTGCTTATCTCTGGGCAGGAGTCCCAAGAAAAGGAGGAAGGGTTTGCACAGCTGTTTTGGCTGAGACCAGCCTGCACCAAACATTCTCCCTGGAGAGGAGGCCCCAGTGAGGTGACGCTGCTGCTGCCCTTAATTAACACGGCCAGACTTCGCTCATTGGCCCCTCTGGCAGTCCCCCCAGGCACCAGATCAGGACTTACTGCTCGATGGAGACAGTGGTATCAAGCTGGTGGTGAAGGAGGCTCTTCAGCTGCCTCTCTCCTTCTGTCTCCAAGTCTTCCAGGAGGACCTCATCGCTGGACAGGCTGCTGTTGACCCTGGGGCACACAAGCACAGCACGGAGGTGGCGAGTAAGGCAATGGAGAAAAAGCTGTTTAAAATGCACCACTGCTACAGCCTCTCTACCTCCTTGACTGTTTTTATGGGACTTAAAGCACAAGGAACCAAAACTACTTGACCAAGGCTCCCACAAATGTTAACTAGAAAAGCCAACAGATTTAGGACTACTTTGAGAACATCAAAAATACCCCAAGGAGATTTAATTTTTTATTTTTTTTTTTAAGAGTCTCATGTAATCTCACTTTTATTGCTGGAAAGTTGTTTTGTATCTGTATCTAAACAGACATCGCTAGTTTCAAACGACAAAAGAAAGCAAACTGCAAGGCAGAAGAGAAGCAGTCAATTTGAACAGCCCTCTATGGAAACCTCCCTTTTCTCTTCCTGGGGTCACCTGTTTCCACCCAAAGGAGACAGACAGACAGACACCGCCTCCACCCTCAGCCCGCAGAGAGCATGTCTTTTGGGTGGCAGCGGGGTCCCTGCTCACCCCTGTTTTGGAGATGGTGCCCCTACATCCCGGGCTTCTGCCGAGCCGGGAGGCACCCCAGAGCCGGGCCACGGGCCGGAGGGAACCCCACGCCTGTCTCGGGAAGCCCTTTTGGGCCGACCCTGCCCCGGCGAGAGGTGGGCAAGCGGCCCGGCTTCAGGTGAAAGCTTTCGCTGCCACCTCCGGAGCCACGGTAGCCCCAGGAGGGTCTGACGCCCCCGGCGGACCACCCCCACAAGCCGCTTTCCGACGCGCCGCCGCCTCCGCGGGAAGGCCGCGCCGTCACCC